GGAAAAGAGCCAGAACTGATGGTAGGGCTGTCCAACGACAAAGTTGGTGCCAGTTCTCGGCTTTGCTTAACAGACCAATTGCTTCTTGCAGCTGGCATCAAAGGCCTTGATTGTGTGATGTCAATTGGCTTGCCAAAAGTACCAGGGGGATTGCATGTGACCTGCCTGATGGGACGATCGGTTCCGGCTGAGCGATCAATTCGACTCTTTCTCGATTTAATTGTGTAGGGAATACGACTGGCCAAGGTTGGTGGAGGTGACGATGGTAACCGTCTCCAAGTGTCCAGTCGTGTTAGACTGTTGGCCAAGACTCGATATTTTGGGCATTCCGGCAGCGCCGTGATCAAGCGTATGGCCGAAGTGAGAGCTTCCAAGGCCTCGGCCTCTTCTTCCGTCACTACGGCCGGTATGCATGCCCCCGATCCCGGCAGTCGGTCTCCCTTCCTACTGAAAGCATCTCTTTGCTCCTCGTCCCTATCCAGCTGAGTAGCGCCATTCGTCCCCACCACATCCACCTTCTCCTCTACGCTTCTTGCCCCGACTGAATCAGCTTCAAGCACATCCTCATTCTCCGGCAAATTTGTTTCTTGCGACAGATCTTGCCAGTTTCTGCTCTCAGGCGCAGTAACCCCGGGCATAATGACAACTGACGATTCGTCTATCTCCTGATCATCAGCATTCTCGATTAGCTTTTGGGAAATTTTCATATTCTTTTTAGAATTCGGCTTTTTTTTACCGGTTTTGGTGGTTATCTTCTTTGACGTTTTTGATTTTTTTACATTTTTAGTTGATACCTTTTTCTCCGATATATTGCTTTCTGCTGGAATGCCTAAACTCTTTCTTTTGATCGGCCTCTCAACACCAAGGAAGCGTTGCTCTTGGGCCCGGCGTCGGATTTCCCTGGCCTGTGCAGTTGTAAAGGTTTTGTGGTTACGAGCTTTGTGCAGATTACGCAGTCGGCCCTCATCAACATCCCCGTGGAAACTGCTCAGGGAGGACTCCATCATGCCAGTGTAGGGCTGAAAGCCGCCAACCCAAAATGGCTTGTGCGTCCCAGGCATAACTAGAGGCTGGCAGAAGGGCCATACAATCTGAGCCACGCCGACAACTCCAGATCACTTTTGTCTCGATATCCTCTCGAAGTTACTTGTTACCGTATGGTCTTCTCCGGCAAGAACGGGGTGTAGCAACGTTATTAAAATCGTTTATGGGTTGCTGAGGCTAGTTGGATAGGAAGCCAAACGTGAGATCTGAGAGAGAACTTTATGTACGAAGGGAATCGGGAGATAGTCCGATTATAGTAACCATTTTCACCACCATCGCAGGCCACTCTATAGACGCTCAATGGTCTCCGTGATAAACATATCGGTTTATACATCAGTTTGTGGAGTAGTGCTTGTGGCCTATGGCTTAGAATCTAATCGAAACGACTCAATGGTGGCAGGTGAAAGAGTGGACATACTGTGGCAAGAAGTCCTGATGGTTTGCCTGTTCTGTTATGGAACGATTTGTAATCCACTCAGAAATATAAAAATATTTCTGAATAAGGTTCGTCGAACACGTGATAAATGCAATCGAGACGGTTGCTAGGCTTGAAAACTCGAATCTGCGTCATTTTATGTAAATCCGCAAGTCTCATGCAAATCTGTATGTACACCTTGCCAGTGTCAGCAAGACAAGGTATAATCTACTGTCTGGCCCAGAGTCAAGCGTAGATACAGGAAACTTTAGGCAAGGGAGTACTTTCCCGAAAATACACTTAAATACGTAATTGACTTGACGGATTCTTTCGAATAACGAGAATACTAATTGCTACCAATAGATTACCTCGAGCCTAGTTCACATGTATTAGTGGATGAGCTACCGTGAGAGTTGTGATACCTGGCTTCCATGATGAGAGGAGATTATCTTGTTTTTAGATCGTATATTGAAATAAATGTTTTATGTATATGTCTGTTAGGCATGATGCGTTATATCACATATCTCTGCATATATTTGTATTTAGCTAATATTTTTAGAGAAAAGTATTTTTGTGTTCGTTAGTCGGCTCATAAAGATATAAGCGAGGTCTCCCGAAGAAATGATCTGGGACATATTTTGTGTCTCCGCTTCAACTCTGAGACCTATGCAGAAAGAGGGTGCTGCTTTTCTAGTTATGCACTCATCAGCCTATTAAACCATTTAGAAAAATCTAGAGCGTCTAATCACCAAACCCTCCTCTTTCAACATGTTCTATGGGATATTCATGCGACTTTTTCAGATTCGTTTAGAGGGTGATTCCCACTTTTATACCCGACCACAATTCAAGTAATTTGTTCACTGGTACCAGATGATCCATCCCTTAGTTCGTCTCTGGCAATCTTTCATTCAGCAGTTTTATGAAATGCTATAAAATTAAGATGCTTTTATGACAATGTACAAGCTAACGAGTAACATTGTCTTATAAATTTACATATTTACTTTAAATCCACCTCTAATGTTTTTATTAGATTGTATGGGGTAATCTGACTTATGCTTAATGAAACCTACATAACGGAAGAATTGTAATCGAAAGTATTATAAGTTTTTAAATAAATAGTGCACTCGCTCTAGGTCGCATGTGAATGAGAAACTATTATTGAGAAATTCGATGTTACAATGTATGTAGGCTTAAGAAGAAATAAAGTATTCACAAAACTCCATGGTTGATATTTTTTCATAAATTCGGATAAAGCGTGTCTGCTTACAAGTGCATGCTTTTTGCAGTGCAAAGATTAGATTTGAGATAAATGATTTTAGCTGATTTTGGTTTATCTAACTATTATCTACTATTAAAAAATAGATAGTAGGCTAAATATTTATTGCAAAGCAAAAGCTTAAACCCAAATTGGAAGTGACTACGCGCCTACAAGATCAGATTCAACCTTACATAATGGTACTCGATGCTGGTAGCTTGACTGTATTGGTAACAAAGGTATATTGGTCGGGAAAAACGAGATCTGATATTCAGGAGAAGGCTTATTTCATATAAAATAATAAAAGAATTGAGTCGTGTAAATTGTGTAAATGATAGAACCCGGTTAATGTATGAAAAAATACTGCGTTTCGAAGAATTATTTAGTGATCTATTGTGACATGACTTTCATTTCGCAGTTGGTTGTAAAGGGTTTGTAAATTAGTTTTAATAAAAAACCGAAAGAGAATTGGCCTGGAGGATTTAAGACTGTTGAATTTTGCAAAGAAGACCTCGGTTCATCGTCCGGAAACTTTGATGAACCTGTGCTAAGATTTCGTTTGTCCTATGACAGACACCGTTGAAGCGATAAACTATGTTTTACGAAGAAAACCCCGAATACAATATGCCAGGAAATTTATTGTGTCTGAGTCCAATAAAATTCAATCAC